AATTTTTTTGCTTCAAAGATTATGAAACAAAAAAATGTAAAATCTACATATAGGTAAAATAAAGATACTAGACTCTATTGAATAGTCTATGAATAAAATGTAAATAGTTTCTTTAGTAAAATTTGAGATTATCTCCAGATAGTTTTCTATGAAATTTGAGTTAAATAGATGATAATATAATAATATATTATATTTAAATAAAAAAAGTAAAATATTCTGTTGTTATTTGTTTATTAAGAGTAATTATCTTTTATGTTAAATTGGTTAGAAGAATAAATAATCAATAGATATGTTTATAGAAAATAAAATAGTAAGAGCGATATTAATAAATAGTTTAAAACGAATTTTAAAATTTTTCTTAATTATTTAATTAAATATTAATATTAATTTTAATTTTAATTTGTTAAATAGAGTAGACGTTTTCGTTGTTTTTTTTCTTTTTGAGAAATAAAATTGTGAAAAAAGGTAATGATTATTTGGTTGAATATATTATTTTTATATTTTATTAATGATTAACTTGTTTAAATATTTAGTTTTTATTTAAAAATTAAATTATTTTATTCTAAATTAATTTTAATAATCGAATTAATTTATTTATTGATATTATGTTTATCTTTCATAGTTAATCTATCCATTTCAAATTTATTCTTATTTAACCAAATTGACTTTAAATAAAAAAATATTATTGGAAAAATAATATATATATATATACGTATATGATAGAATATAAAATATTATTATTATTATTTAAGAAAAAACACATTATTCCAATAATTATTTAAATGATTTTGTTGATGTATATCCTTATTGAACATAAATCTAACTGATTGAAAAAGTGAAAATTGAATTTTTTTTCCTTCTTTTAATAGATCAATAATTAAAAAATGTTTTAACCAATAGATTGACATAGAAGATATTTATTCGGAATCGACTAAAGAGAAAGAGAAAGAGAATAATAGATTATGACAGAGGTATAAAATTGCACGTTTTTTTTTCTTTTTTTTTCATATCTCGGAATTCATTATGGAAAAATAAAATAAAATAAAATAAAAGTAAGAATAAATTAATCATGATATTTTCTATTTTGATTAACACCAAATAATTTTTCTCGAATTTCTGGAAGAATTTGATTAAAAATCATTGCAAGACGAGCTTCAATTGTATTTGACACTTTTATTTTCCCTCCCATTGAATAAAGTTCAACACCACCAGCTCTACAAAACAATAAAAAGAACACAAAAAAAAAAAAATTTTTCATTAATAAATAAAAGTAAAATTCTCACGAATCATCAGCTAAGAAATTTTTCTCATCAATTGTAACTTTAATATCATTTTGTTTTAATTCTTGTTTATATCGTTGAATAACATCAGGAATAAGTTGTTGAACAAGATCACAATCATGACGTCGACAACGAATAGTAACATCTTTTTCCATAAGTAAATAAAGACCTTGTGCAATTAGATTAGAAAGAATAGTTGTATATCTTGCTCGATCTTGTGTTAAAATAGTTAATTGTTTTCGAGCTTGTTCTTTTAATGCTTGAACATAATCATCACGAGCTTTAAGAATTGAAAGACGACTTGCATTAGCTAAATTTGAATGTTGAATTTTTCGTTGTAATTCAATTTGTTTTTCTTTTTTATCATAATATTCAATTATTTTAATACGTTGTTGAGATACTAAACGACTTTTTTCTATATTAAATTCTTCTTCAGCTTTTGCTTCGATTTCTTCAACTTTTTCAGCTGCTTCTTGTTGAATAAATGCAATCATATGTTGAATCTAGATTATTATTATTATTTAGATTATTATTTACAATATAGAATAGCTAACCTGTTTGGCAACATCAGTTTCACTTAAACCCATTTTTTAAATTGAATAATGACGAAGATGAATATGAATATGAATATGACTATGAATCGAAATCTATTTATGATAAGATAAAAATGGTTTCAGCCAAATAAAATAAAAGTGTCTTCAACATTTTTATTTGAGTATATTATGGATATTTTCCATTATTTTTTACACAGATGCCACTAGATTTTATCATATAATAAAATGATCTATGATAGAATCCTAGGTCGCTTATTATTTATCTTAATATATATTTTCTTGTTTGTTATTGAATAAGAAATTCTTAATAGGAGTTAATATAGAAACAAAGTTTATTGATGATTGTTTTCTCTTAAATTGATTAGATGATTTTTGAAAGAAATTGAAAAGAAATTAATTATTTTCTTCTTGAAACAATCAATGATAAAAATCTTCCTCGACGGACAGTTTTATTTTTTTAATATTTGTTTAGTTTAAAAAATAAAATATTGAATAGTCTTCATCAGATCTATTGTTTAAAAAAATCTTCGTCATTTTTAATGATCTTGTTTATTATTTAACTGGATAAAATAATCATAATTAATATAATTTAGATGCATATATATATATATACAGTCACATTTTGTAAAAAATATCAAATAATTTATCTTTTATCTTGATGAACAACGAAAAATATTTTGAAGAAATTGATTCAAAATCAACATTTATTGAAAATAAATATGTTATAAACCTCTTATTGTTATTTATTTAAATATACTTTCGAAAAAACAAGGAAAATAATCAATTTTTTTAAACGAGTATCTATTTAAATCAATTAGAAAAATGTCAAATAATTATACCAAGATTTATTTACTCAAGAGAGAAATTTTGTTTTTTTTTAAGTTCCTGATGAAATGATTAAATGAATAAGAATTATTGCTTCAAATCCAACAAGATTTTATTTTATTTTCTAAATAAATCATTTTAATAAAATCTTTCGTTTTCTGTTGAAAATTATCTTCCGTTATTTGTTACTTTATATAATAATACATTTAAATCATACAATTCATATATTTGAATATATTTTACAAAATTTAAAGCTAAATTCAAATCTTTAGAGATTTAACAAGTAAATAAAAAATGATTAATTGATATTATTATTGAAAAACATACTGAAAAAAAAACAAATTATTTTTTTAAAACAAGGAAACGAATAATAGTCTTCAATTATTTCAAATGTATCCATCAATAACAACACTATCTTACATTCATAACACGATATTTTTCATGAATTTTTATCTTTATTTAAAAAAAACGCAAGTTCAGATGTTAATCAACGTCAAAAAAATTATCCAGTATTTTTTTTTCAATGTGGCTATATCAACAAATGAACAAGATGTTAAAAAAGTTCCTGAATCAATTGAAAAAATATTTATAAATGAACAAATAATTCTTATTGAATATTTCTTAGATCAATTTAATTCATATAATATGCGATTTTATTTAGAAACTTTATCAAACAATATTTAATCAATTCAAACTATTATTATTCATATTCGCCTATTTATCATTTAGAAAGATCAACAGATACTTTACAAATTATTTTATCTAATAGAATATTTTAACTTCAATCTATCGAACATCATCAAAATAAACAATAAAAACAAATAATTGAACAATTCGCCAAGAATATTACTTCTTCACGACATTCAGTGTTAAAAAACAAAAGACATTGAGAAAATGATATCTATGAGGTTGGTTGGGGTAATGGTGTCGGCGTATTTTGCTTTAATCCGAACTCATATCAACACTGTGCACCGAAATATTTTATAATCAATAAACAAATATCTAACTTATTATAAAGTTTTGATTTTAATGATTAGAAAAAACAATCAATATATAAGAAAACAAAAAGAAAAAAATGAAATTGAATACGAATGATACTGATAAATCTGCCAACATTCATATAAATGGTCGAGAAAATGATTGACTTCCTCGTCTAACATTATTTTCAATTGTTTAGAGATCATATTCAACTTATTAATTTAGTTCATTTTCTATATAAGATTGATCTTAAAAAACAAGTTAACTTTAAAATACCATTCGATATTGTGAGAAATAAAAAGAAAATATTGATAGTGACCGTCTGAACGTTGAGAAATGTTTGAAACTTGCCTCTTTCCATTGTCTGAAAGACCTTAATGGATGATACCTTATATTGAATTACACTATATGTTTTATCTTCGAGAATTTTCTCATCAAATAATAATCATATTTAAAAAAAAAGAAGAAAATTTTCTTTTGCTTTGAAATATCATCTTTTTTAATACAAATAATTAGCTTGATAATTCAAAGAGAATTAACAAATTGAAGATTTTCAAATATTTAAATAGATAAAATAAGTCTGAGAGAAAGTTGAAATTTTGATAAAATCATCTGTTTTGCTATGATAGCTATTTAATGTAATATAACTGATGAAATATTCTTTAAATCTTATTTTCAACGTATTCATAGTGAACAATTTCAAAAACTTGGTTAATTTAATAATAAGAATAATAAATAATTATTATTGAATAGATTTTTCTTTTGTTTGTTTATGTAAAAGAGGAAATAAAGAAATTATTCGTTTATTAATTTAATATGTACTTATAGGATTCAAGTTTAATTAAAATAGTTATAAAATCTTGATGGTATAGTCATACTAATCAAGATATTCGTGCATGTCTTATTTTAATTTTACTTCATTTTGTTGGTTAATCAAATTCAAATGATGATTATATTATTATTTTGAATATTCTTAAAATAAGACGCATATGATAATTATATTCCAGTAGTACAATCTCTATTCTATTGATCATTGTAAAAATTCTTCTAGGACATAATATAAATAATAATATTCATCAAACTATTTATTTGAAACACTTGTTAATAAAATACAATTTAAAATATTCGATCATCGAATACCATTAGAAGTACGTTCATATACATGGTCGAATCTTCAAATATCAATATTGGTATTATAATCAATTAATTGAGAAAAAAACACTCGAATTTTATCCGTTCAATTTGATAAAAATGTCAATAATTATGGGAAAAACCTTTTGAAAAAATTATTTTATTTAATAAACAACAAAAATTGTCATTTGAAAACAAAATCAATTAATAATAAACTATTTTTTAAAATCTTATGTCATATATAAATCAATTTGATAATGAGAATAAAATTCATTTTCGTTTACTTACTGCAATTGTTCTTCTGTTTGATAAAACAATCGTTCCTTTCATTGAAAAATTATTAATAAAAATAGCTCGAAATAAAGAAGATATTGAAGACGAATTAAAAATCGTTCAAAAATATTTATCTGAAAAAGAGCAAGCTATCAGTTATATTGTACCTTGGACAGAAGATGATGATGTCAACAATAACCATCGAATAAGCGTTTTCGGCCAATCATCTGATTCTGACATATCTTAATAACACATTGCTATAAGATATTAAACTCACAAAACAAATAAATTTTTTTTTTCATTATAAATTATTGTATGATTAAAACAATTTAGTCTTTTTATTTTTTTCTAGAACGATTTATTTAAAGGTTTCAGAAAAAATCCTATTCAAGAGTTTAACTAGTTCATTTAATTTATCGTACACATTGTGAAACAAATTGTATCGAAAGACCGATCTTTAAATCAATATCGTACACTTACTTATTTTGTTTTTGTTAATTTTGCTAATTTGATTTATTGCCTATTAAATAATATATATAATTATTGGAAATTGAAGAATTTCGTGATCTTTAAATAGAATTTTAATTTTAACGACATTTATTAGTTTTTTATTAAGATGATAATTCGAAATGTTTTAAGTCAATAGAAATGTCTCTCGACATATTCTTATTACGAGGATTTTAATGTCTGATTAAATATCTTTTACTATTCTATGCAAACGTTTTATTTAAATTAATCATTTTTTTTGAAAAGAATCATAGAAGACAATACTTACTGACACAAATGATTTCTGTCCGCGGTAGTATAGTGGTTAGTATCCCCGCCTGTCACGCGGGAAACCGGGGTTCGATTCCCCGCCGCGGAGTTCTTTTTTTTCTTTCTCTTACTATTGTTTCTGGTTAATGTTACCATTAATAGTGATGAATGCATGTCTATTCGACATTGTTTTTAACAGTCTTATTTAACCCGATTAGTTTTTTTTTATAGTTTGTTTCGGTCAAAATCTATTAATTAGTTTAAAAAATTATCTTTATCAATTTTGACAAATAAATAAGATTTTATAGGGAATAATAAAAAAAAAAATTTTTTTTAAATGTTATGTTATACTAAATGATATGGATTTCGTTCAACGAAATATATTTGAATAAACTAATAACGAGAAATACGAGTTCATTGATCATTTTATTGTTTTTTGAATTTATTTCAAAAAGCTTGTGAAAATTTCGGACTGATCTTCAGTCCATTATCAACATAAATGACAAGTGAAAAATATACAAATTATTATATATGACTATTCTTTTCATTTCATTTTGCTTTTTATCTAATTAACATTAACTCGTATTTCTCGTTATTAGTTTATTCAAATATATTTCATTGAACAAAATCCATATTATTAAACGCCTCTATTCAAAATACGGTAGAGGTATAGTGAAAGATATTAGAAATTATGAAAAACTATTCCTAAAACTCCTAAAAACAAAATGTGATGGTGAATTTGTACGAATTTGTTTAATATATAATTTAACACCAAAATTCGTCAAATATAAATTATGGAACAAAGCATATCTGAAAAAGAAAATTTATCAACAACATCAACGACATTATTTACAATTTGAATATCATAACGAATTCAAACAAGTTTATAAATTAGAAGCAGAAAATAAAAAATTATTATTAACAATTAATACCAAAATTAATGCATTTGAACAGAAATTGTTAAAACAACATTTTGATAGATTAAAACAAAAAGAAGAAACAAAAATTAAATCAATTCATAAAGATAAAATACAACGTCTATCAAAAGGTAATGTTGAATTAGAACAAGTTGATATTAAAAAGGTTGTACACAACATTTCGTCTCGAGAATTATCTGCTGAAGAAGAATCAATTTTATCAAAAGGTTTACAATTCTGTATCGAAACAAAAATTAAAGACACTACAGAATTTAAAACAGATATTGAAATGATGGCGTTTAACATCTTAAAACAACTGGAAGAACCTGAAACAAAATCATTAGATGAACATATTATTAATTGTATAAAAAGAGCAGCTCATCAATCATTAAAAATGAACAAAAATAAGATAATTATGAACATTAATCCAAATAAATTACCAGCATTAAGATCATTAATGAAAGCTGACAAAGGATCCTCATGTATAATTATGGACAAAGAACAATATATAATTAAAGTGAAAGTATTATTATCTGCAGGAACAGCATTCCAAAAAATCAAAGATAAAGATAAACATGTAAATCAAGATACAACTGAAAATATTGTTAAAATAATGGAAAATAAATTAAATTATCGTATAAACGATTTGAAAAAGTGCAAAAGGTTAACTGAACAAGAATATAATTTCATAAGAACATCTGGATCAAGGTGTGCCGTTTTATTTTGCCAACCGAAAGTTCACAAACAAGGAATGCCTTTAAGACCGATCATTTCCACAACAAACAATAATAATTATAAATTAGCAAAATATTTAACAATATTATTGCTTGAAGAAGCAAGAACTAAACCAAAATCCTATATTAAGGATTCATTTACATTTGCAAAATTAATTCAACAACAAAAACCACAACGAAACGATATAATGTTAAGTTTAGATATAGAAGCGTTGTTCACAAATACACCAGTTCACGAAGCAATGAATCTAGCTATTAAAATAATCATGAAGAAAAAACAAGAAGATAATCGATTTACAATGTTAAATGAAGAAGATTTAAAACACCGATTTTATTTAGCTGTGACCAACACACCATTTAGATTTTATAATGAATTATATTTACAAGTAGATGGAGTCAGTATGGATAGTCCTTTGGCTTCCATACTGGCTGATATCTTCATGGAACATATCGAACAAGAATTAGAAAAATTTGAAGACAATAACAAAATAAAGTTTTATCGAAGATACATCGACGATACATTTATCATTTTCAATGGTAAACAAGGTGATATTGATAAATTACTAAATTATGTAAATTCACTACATCCAAATCTTAAATTTACAAATGAAGTAGAAAACGATTACGAATTGTCATTCCTAGATGTAAAAGTTATAAAACAACGTACAAAATTTGAAACCACAATTTTACAGAAAGAAAACACATACAGGTCAATTATTAAACTAGTCTAGTTGCCAAGCAAAGAAATATAAAATTGGCTTAATAAAAACGTTAACTTTTCGTGCATTAAGTATTTGTTCATCAGAAACTTTATTAACAGAAGAATGTAATATAATTGAAAAAACATTAGTCAAAAATGAATATCCAGTCAAATTAGTAAAAAGGAAAATTAATAATACAATACAACAATTTAGATTTAGTCAACCTACTGTATCAAAATCATTAAAGAAGATGTTCTTCGTACCACTTACATATTACGGTATTGAAACAATTATCATGACAAACAAAATTAAAAATATTTTAGAAAAAACTTATCCCACAACAAAAGTAATATTTGGTTTTAAAAAAGATTTAACTATTAACAAATTATTTATGAAAAATTATAAAGGTGTTGATCCCATGAATATTGGTGTTATTTATAAACTATCTTGTTCAAAATGTTCAAAAGTGTATATTGGACAAACACAATTAAATGTGAAGGAACGTATGAAACAACATCATGAAGGTTTAAAAGATCCTGGTAAATCAAGTGCAGCTGATCATATGTTAAATAATGCCTATCATGTAATTAACTTTAAAGACCCAGAAATATTAGGCAGAGATATCTCCAAAAAAAGACTTGAGATAAAAGAAACATTATGTACAATCAAATACAATAATGCTTACAATAAAATTAGTCATGAATTAGCAAGGGGGAGTAACATTGCAATGCACAAGCAAACGTTTCTCCCCCTTGCATTGCAATGTTAATTAGACAAAAAACAAAATGAAATGAAAAGAATAGTCATATATAATAATTTGTATATATTTCACTTGTCATTTGTGTTGATAATGGACTGAAGATCAGTCCGAAATATTCACAAGTTTTTTGAAATAAATTCAAAAAACAATAAAATGATCAATGAACTCGTATTTCTCTTTATTAGCTATACAAAATGCTATGTAGTTATCAGTGATGACATTCTTATCAGAAAAGTAGAGAATGTCACAACAAGCCTTGACTTGACATTGACTTATATTCACATGAATTCTATCGCCAATTATGATCTTCTCTATAATTTTGATTATCTTTGTAATTATTTTCCCCACATTTATGTTTCCAATCACATCATTGTATCATGTTGTTGAATTATTATAATACAGCAGTAGTATTTAAGCACTCTGAAGTTCGAGCAAAACATCGAAGAAAATAAATAACTGACTATGGAGAAACGCTCCAGAAAAACTTGTTTCTAGGCATGATTACGAATGTTTTTGATTGGTATATTCGTAGATTATGATCAGAAGTGCAATTTGGATATTTTTAAATATCTCTATCAAACTATATGAAAATCAGCATAATCGACGATGATATATTGATGGCTAAATACATTTGATTATCATCAACAGTCAGATATAATACACATTGATTATTTCAAACGACCTGAATGCAGAGCAATGCGAAGCAATAGAGCTAATTCTGCCAGAAATCACTTTTGAAACCCTTCTCAAATAACCTTGGATAGAGAAAACTAAAATTTTTCGAGATGTTGGTTTCATTACTTTTCGAGCTCCTTCTTTATGGTAATAACCTCTTCATATTGGTAATAGATCCGATTGTTTATGTCTATTATCAATATTTATTCTGGGTTAGTGATTAAATTCGTCATATTTAAATACCATCCTTGAAAAATTAACTCAACTGAATTTTTTTCCCAAAATGAATTCAATTATACGGTAATACTTTTATATTGAAGAAAAAAGTAGACAGGCACGCCTAGTGGCCTGATTGAAGCTCTAATACCTGGTGTCAAGTTATTATAGCACATTTCGTCTAAAGGACGACAACGAATAATGCTGTCTTTCTCTTGGTAAAATATTTTAGTTTTGTATGAAAATCAACGCAGTAGCATTATCCGATCAGATTCCAAAAGTTTACTTCAAATATATTCCGATTTATTTTTTGAATCACATCTAAAGACTTGCCCATTGCTATGGAGGGACACTAGTGACTCGAAACATTGATCGATAGATACTGCAAAATAAACTTTCGAATATGATTGAGACCTATTACTGCATTGAGTTCAACAAAAAAGACGACAAGAGTTCGAGAAAACAAAACGTTTCTATCCTTTAGAGTGCTGGATACATGTTCGAGTACTTCGAGTATTTTACCAAACTTCTGTTGCGTTTGGTGGTTTATTTCTTTTTACATCTCATTAAACATATTCAATAAATTCTTGATTACAACTTTCAACAACATATGTTCGATGTGAATATTTCACGTATTTAATTCTTATATTAGTCATGTTTAGTGTACTTCTAATGAGTCTTATTCTTTGACGAATTGTAAGTATAGATGTTTATGTGATGAAAAATTGAAATAAAACGAGTTTATCTCTAAACAGTATCTTCATAGGTTTTATTTCAATCTTCAATAAAAAAAAATTCTTTTGAACAGCGTAGATCGAAACAATCCAATGGTTGTTGATGATTATTATTTTCACATTAATATTTATTGATAATTATATAGTTTTGTTTGTATTTATATAATTTTGTTTTTGATTTTATGAATAGCATCAACTTATTTCTCTTGAATTTCTCTTTAACGATCACGCACACTTCATTTCATTAAAAAACTTTCTGTCATATTTTAGATATTAGTAATCGGACAATGACAACACCTACTGATCTTCAATATGATGTAAAAAATCAGGCTTGATGAAAGTATAATCAATTTTTTTTGATTTTTTTCTTCGACAGTTGCATATGCTTCAAGATCAACAAGAACTCCTGGTGAAAGAGAAAGTCGCACTGTAGAACAACAAACAACATAATCTGATAGTTAGACTCGATCAGGAACGTTTTCAACTTAAATTAGTTCATTTGGATTGTTTAATCAAAGCAAATTAATCCGTATGACTTATTAGAATTTAAAAAAAGATAATTTTGGTCTTCAAGTAAGTATCTAATATCTCCTACTTCATTAAATGTTCAATATTTTATTTAGTGGACCGTTTTTCGTCAATAAACACCATGCTCCAAGATCATCATGGGTGTGGGTCAGGGTCTAGTCAGAAAGAAGACCACACCCCGAAGTTGCCTTCGGAGCTGCCTGGAAAGCGGCGAATTGATAAAATCTTTTCCTTTTTGTGTTTCTTATCGCTCAACGTTCTAAAAAATAAACTTCATTAAAACTCGAACAACCTATGAGAAACAATTTTGTATGAATCCAGACTTTGTATAATGAAATAAGTGAAAAAAACGAAAAGAAAAATATTTTAAAGCATATCAAAATACTTTTTAAGTTTTAGTTTGTCTCTCAATCTGAAAATGACCGATTAAGCCATATGGTTTCTCACTACATGATGAAGTATTTTTAAAAAGTCTATTATGTAGTTGTTTGTTGAAGGATTCGAAAATGATCAATCAATTGACTTTTGCAAAAAATGCTACCTCAAACAGTAATGGTTAATCGTAATCACATTGTAATTGATTAAGTGATCTCACAGGACATAAACAAATCCAGTGAAACGATAGTTATTTTGAATTTTCTATGATTACAGGAGTAATTTATTTATTTAATTATATGGTATAAATATCACAGAAACATATCGATGTTAAATATACGATTAGATGTTCAGTTCCAATCGCAAAGAGAAAAGGAAATGAACACGAACACTGTTAAACATAAAATTAATCTAACAATGTAAAAAACCAACGATTTTTATTTTTCTCTTACGTCCTTTTTTGCAGCTTGTCATGTGTTATTTGATCAACAGTGATACTACTCTTTATTTAACATGAACATAAAAGAGTACAAGATCAAACTATAAAATTTACTTCAAGAACAGGCACCATATACTTGTTTTTTAATCTTTATAGAGTGGATATGTGTTGATAAAAGTCTGTAACACTGCCCAAAATACTTAGTGTAACGAACAGTCTAATCAAAATATTATTTTTTTTGTATTAAATAATTTATAGTAAATTGTCTCTATAAATACTATAAAACTGGTCAACGTTGTAATCCCCTTTTCACTTCGAGTCTGTGTCTTTTTTAAACTATAGGTTTTAAGTATTTTTTAGAGGAGAAAAAACTGCACAACATATGTCAAAATCTGCTTGGGCCCTCATATAATAACTGAATGGTAACTGAAACAATGAAAGAAATTGACATACTTTTTGTTCGAAAAATAGGCAGTCACAGATAGTATTTAGCCAATAAAATGAGTTTAGCCCATTGAACAACAATATGTAAATACTTCATTTTATCCAGCTTTTCATGCTCTATCATTTCCTATCCTACACTACATTGTTGAGCATATTCTTCAAATAGGCTTGCCATTGCCTAAAAGTCGAATCATGCTAATTTTTCATCAGCTCAACCAAACGCTCTAAAAATTTGGATTTAAAGGTGTTAGATGATGTTGATTAAGATGAGAATATTAAATCAAAAAATAAAATTTTGATGAATGTTTCGACTTCTTGATGGTGTCATGAACCCTTTCTTAAATTTTCAAAAAGGAAAGGATCCCGCACAATTCGGGAACCTATCCTGAACTAAAATGACATATACATGGAGTCTTTTAGAACGATCTACAACGTGTCGGATGGTATATAAGAAGCCAAGTTTTATGAGAAATTTTCATGTGCTAAACATCAATATACTGACGATAATGCTCGATGGATTTTATAGGATACTCATAGTCATGCTAATCCATAGGATATTCTAACAGAAATGCAAATCTATTGTTTTTTTTGAAACTCGATTCGATAAAGTTATAGGTAATCTTTAATTTTTCTACAATAAATAGTTTTCATGGTTGGGCTCTTCATACGTAAAAATGGTCTCTTTTCTTAGGTCTAGACTTTTTCTTGTCTATATCATATTCCAGTGTGTTCAAATCTGTGCCAAAGAATAGATGAATACCAGCGTGAAACTTTCTCAAAAACTTGCACATTATCGAGCTCTATATTTTTCACGTATAACACTTTTGAGAACAACATGAACTTATTGTTAACTTACAAGATTGTTCACTAGAGCAGCCCATTTTTCTCTACTAAGAGGCTGATATATTGATGATGTCTTAACAATACTTAATGGTAATGTAATAATAATGAGCATAGCATTCCTGATGAACTGATATGAATCACTCTTGTATAAAGAGAAAAAAGTTTTCAGCCTCCAGACCTCTGGAAGAGAGTCCGATTACTGGTTTGCAGAAAAGAAGTGCTATTTTTTTTATTGTTTTTTCAAGTTTTTTATCTACAAGTGTCTGTAAATGTTTCATGTTCATTTCAAAAAACATCCTTGTATATCTCCGTAATCCCCTCTCAAAGTCTTGAGGTCAAAAGAATTTTTCTCCGTAAAACGGAATGGTTTTTATTCAGGTCATCAGCAATGCTACGTTTAACGATAAAGTTATATTGTCGTATCAACTGTCTTTATTCCAATCTACTTCATCCTTTTATAGTTCTTGTCTTCCTGCAGAGAACTAGTTAATTAAACGGAGAGAGAGAGCAAGAGAACACACACATCAACAAAGATGTATGAATTTGAACGCATAATAGATAACTATCTACATTATATCCATTCCAAGGTAATCTAGGATTAATGTGAGTGGAAGGGCAATGTTTTAGTATACGTATCTTAATTATAAAAGAGTGACTGTTCATATCGGTACATTATGCTCATTATTATTACATTATATTTTAAATAGAACCATTGAGTATTGTTAAAACATTATCAATATATTGACCTCTTAATAAAAAAGAATTGGTCTACGTGAGCGTAGAATCTTTCAAGTTACCAATAAGTTTCTAGTGTTTTGCAAGATATTATGTGTGAAACATATAGAGCTCGATAATGTGCAAGTTTTTGAGAAAGTTTCATGGTGGTACTCATTTGTTCTTTGGCACAGATTTGAACATACTGCTCTGAAAAAAGATACTATACAGAACCAAAAAAGGTGTCGCGCGCATTACAAAACTTGAAAATGTTTCGAATGCGGTTATGGAACTTGAAAAAGATTACGAATTCGTTGCAAAAATGATTTCCTAGGTGTTTTTTTTTCCTTCCTGTACTCGATATAATAACGTATCAATTACAAATACCTATTAGTTTTATTGATAGAATTCTCTTTTATATGAATATTCTAATGGTGTTACATTCTGATGAAAAAAGAAACGTCAATAAATTAGACTAAAATTGATTAGTTAGATTAAAAACTGATTAAGATGGTACCATCAATCATCCATATATGGCTTAATCTTTAGTTTTAAATTGTGATTTTTTTCTAATCTTTAAAGTTTTTTATTTTTCTCTATTCAATTATTATTTATTAATAACTATGCATAACTTATAATTAAGAGATCGTTTAAATCGATTAGAAATATTTTAAAAATCTCTAAAAATATAAAACTTAAAAGTTAACGCTAAAGATCCAATCATAATCATATGGATAATAGTCCCATTTTTAATATATTTTTAATGAAAAAATTCTCGGTTTCAACGCAATTCTTGATAGTTTGCTTTTTTTTTTAGAGAGTTCATATTTTCTCGAATAAGTTGAACAAGATATAAATACTGAACATAGAAACTGTTAGAACTTTTTACTAAGGTATCAATTCTTCTCTTTATCAAACTCGATTTAAAAACTCTGGGAACTTCTCATGCGTCAGTCTTGACTGTTTAATCTATCTTCTTTTTTCTCTCGTTTTTCTTTTAAGCGATCTAACGTAGATCGAAACAACTATTTAATATACAATAGCTATTCCACACTTCCATAGTTGAACATCAAACTATTAATAAACTTTAAGTCTATCGTCAAAAAACTAAAATATTTTCATCATCGATTTAGTTCAATTTATCAGAATGAATTCAATTTGGCACCAAGGAAAATAAAGATAAAAATTTATCGAATGTACTATAGTTGTTTTGAGAATAAGCCATTTCACCTTATCACAATTGAATTACGTTGTATCTCTTGTGAACTGTTGTGTCTCAATGATCAGTTTATTAAAATCTACTCTTAATGCCGCTAGACGAGACAAATATGTCTTCGTTTTATTGAGAAATTGATAAACATAATCAATATCCACATTGTTTAGGTCAACTGATCTAAGATGATGATATTTAACAGATGAAAATGATTAGATATCGTCAAAATATAAGTTTGTCACTGTCTCAAAGTTGTGTAATGTGACTGTCTCTGTGGTTGTGGATGTCTGCAAGCAGGATGCAAGATGTGAGCGTTGATGTAGCATGTTGGATCTGACTCTGTGCGTCTGTGAGGGTGGGTATGGTTGTGTGCATGTGCGTAACAAATATGAATGTGCAATGCATATCAGTGTCGGGCGTGTCTGTAAGGGTCCGGTACACTTTGCCGACAACTTATTTTGCTCACAAAGATTTGAAATAAAAAAAATTGCAATTTGTTGAAAATACTGCGTCAGAAGATCTTCGAAGTCACGATTTTTTTCCAACGTTTCTTGGTAAGTTGAGCTAAAAATTCACGTCGCATGAGGCAAGATAGCGCTAGAGGATATTCTGACTTTTTAAAAATTTTAAAAATTTAATTAAAACTCATCTGTTGCTCATGAGACACGCTACAATTCAATCATGGCTTCAAGTAGATGTGAGTGCCGGTTTTTTTTTCGTATCCTCGCCACACGCACACCTCACCTATACCGGTACTTCCCACACTGCCATCCACAACCATACTTTACACCAATAGCCCAAGAAAAGAAAAAAATTGTAACAACCAACAAAAAGCTTAGATTGTATGTTGTAATTATTTGTATGTATTGTGCTTTGTCCATGGGATATTAATCCATACACCTCGACGTGGTGTTCTCTGAAAACTACTAGATTTAGTAAGCTAAGATATGGACAAATTATGTCGGTAAAATGTACTTGTCGACAAAGTGAACGCGATCCGTCTGTAAGTATGGATATGGGTGTAAATGTCAATACAGATATTTTTCACATCCAATGTATATCCACAGCCATATCGTGTACTATCACAAACTTTGTTATCACTAGGAATACACCAAATTCAATTCCAGTCAAATCCAAACCTAGACTTGAGTTTGGTACATCCCTAGTTATCCTGCTACCATTACCCGTTGATGATGTTAAGATTTATTAATGGACAAATAAGTCTAAACGTATGTCAGTTTGAGACATGATAAGAAAGTTCTACTTTATTTAATGGTTTTTCCAGTAATAACTTAATAAAAAGAAGTTTTAAAATTGTTTCATAGCTAGCCATTAGAATCAATGATTCTGTAGGTATTTCATTCAACTGATGCAAAAAAAAGGGAAGACATGCTCGACCTCTATCGAGTTGATTTTGTTGGTTTGTATTGATGTTCAATTGATGAGAAAAACAATTGAAAGGAACAGAACTTTATGTAAATAAATACATATTTTTAACTTTTTCTTCTGAAAATGTCAACAACAAAATCTCAAGGAGTTGCCAATCCAAGTACTAACTCAAGTCAAACAGGAAAAACGAAAGATGATGTTCCTAGTCTAAAGAACAAAGTGACAGAAGTAAAAAGTACTTTTATTAATTATATTTTCAATTTGTTTTTTGCTCATTAAGCTTGAACGTCAAATAAATGATTATAAAATAAAATTAGACGAGTTACGTCGTGCTAAAGCAACAACAGTGGTCAAACTCGAAAAAGAATATGTCAATACAACTGTTCCAGGGTTTTAATTTTCATTTCTAATTATTATTTTTATTTATCTTATTTTTGTTTTAAATAGATTGAATCGTCCTGAAAAACTCAAATCATGTGAAAAATGTGAAGAATTTGAACGAATGATTGAAGCAGAAAGAAAATCCAATACACAATTAAACAAAATGGTTGAACAAAAAGATAATAACAAAGAACAACTACAAAAATTATCGACAACAAACACGAATTTATGTTCAAAATGTTTAGATTTAAAACAATTATTAGCTATTGAAAAAGACAATAACTTTCAAATAAGTCAACAATGTCAAAGTCAAAAAAAGGAAAAAGAAGAAGAACGAAATACTAAAGAGGTTTTGAATTTCAATTAAAAATAAATAAAATAAATTCTTGCTTATTCATTTAGATATTTGAACAGAGTTTAGAAATAATGCAATCAGAAATAATTCAATCAAAAAAATTATCTGATACATTACGTTATAAAAATCAAGAATATAAAGTTCGGTTATTTACAAATTCTTTCTATCATTTTTCATATACAAAACTTTTTAATTCAAATAGAATAAATTTGAATTGATGAAAACAGAATATGGAGAAAAAATGGCTGATTTATGTCATAGAGAAGAAGAAGCAAAAAAACAAGTAAAATTTTGTTTTTAATTTTTCATTTAATATTTCTTTAATAAAGATTGAGACATGGGAACAAATGTATCGAGAATGGATGGCAACTATGGAAAGAAGAGTTAATAATTTACAAGTTACTGATGAAGAACTTCAAGTAAATTTTTCTTTTTTTTTTTTTTATCATTATCCGAACATCTTAAATGATCTATTTCTAGACATTGTTACATAATCAGGAAGATATCAGTCAACAATATTCTTCTGCACCTTTTGACAATCAACGTCGATAAATACATTTTATAATCATCCTAAGAATAATTATCATTCCAATATTTACATGACCATTTAATATGATCATCAATTTTTGTGCACTGTACCTTATTCTTAAAATGAATTTTAATCTCAATCGAACTTCAATCACATTTCATGATTTTTAACTAAATATATTTTCAAATGAATAAAGCAACTTTTTTTTCTTATAAAAGATTGACGAATTTTTTCAACTTTTTTCTATCTATTTTATGGAAACCAGATGACGATTATCTTCTTTTTATTCACTTATTCATCGCGAAACTCATTTTACAAGCATGTTAGGTTTATCAATAGTGTAAATTGTAATATACAGGGAATCGGTAGAATTTTTTTCGTTCGAAGCGATCAATTACAAATCTTATCTTAAACAATGAAAAATCGATGTCTTTTGTATATCAAGTAACTAATCAGTTTTTTTCGAAAACAGTTCATTACGTCAGTTACACGAAGACATACAATGCAAAACTCTTAGAAATCTTTAATTTTCAAGTAGAGTAACAATTCCTATCTTTATCGATTATATTTCATATAGAAGCTCACAGCAACTTATATTGAACAACATCTATACTATGCTCTAGCTGTCTTTTATCAATAACCATTTTCCTATAAGATATCAATTGGAAACGATAGATTTCATCGTACAGTTAGCCATTGAGAAGATAACAAAAAGGCCAAACTCATTATTTTTGAGTTTGATTCCTTTTTTTCAGCTTGTTTGTAACATTAAACTCTACTCTAAGAATGATTTAGATCATTCTCCATTTTCTGATCAATAGTAGGTCTTTTTCTATATTCATAGTGATTAAGATTATCAATGTAGATGATATTGCATGATAAACAAATAAATAAAATAATTTATATCATATGATTGAGTTTGAATGTGCTTATTATTGTAAACAATAATATGTGGAGGGATACGGAGATTCATATAGTTCAATATGATGATCCTATATATTGGCGTTCTAGAGTTACAAACAAATAGAATGATTTACCATGATAAAAAAAAACGATTACTCACGAAGTATATGTACTGAACTCAAACGTTCGGCTTCAGCTCGACTTTTGCTTTGCTTCCGACTAGAGCTACTTTTTGTTTTTCTATAAACAGAAATAGAAATGAGCCAATAGAAAGGCCAAATGACTTGATTATGCTAGTGTGGGTGTCTTTAGTAGGAGACACTCATATACTACAGCCACAATTTTACCTAATCGTACGAACACAAATATGAGTAACTGCCTAATTCGAGTTTGAGTATAAATGAAAATTTCGAACGGACACCCCTTTTATAATAGTCGAAGAAAAATATAAAATTTTATTCGAATTCGAACTTTCTAATTGAGACTAGGTTGTCATATAACTACGGCAAAAAAAACGCAAAAGAGAAAATTTCATTCATATTATAGCTAGAAATTCTGTTTCAAAGGAATTTCCATGTACATTTTGAATAAAAGAAAAAGCTACAGTTTATCTTAATTACAGCTTATGATTAAAATTGACTGGTGACGTATTTGAAAATAAAGAATATAAATAAAGTCTTTCAGAAGCTGCAACAGACTCTATATAGAGAAATAGTCGGCTACCAGAAGCCACTAGTGAAACTTTGCTCACATTTATTTACTCGGTTCAAATTTTTTCAGAGCTCGAAATGTGATGATGGACGTTAACATGTATACAGAGACGCGCATAAATCGCGACACTTCGGCGAATGTTTCATGCTCCCTTCAATAGTTAAAATCCAGTTACAAGCTCGACATGTATGTTATCGTTCAGATAAAATATTATCTTTTGCCTTTTTCCCGTAATAACATTGAAGCCTTCTTTTTTAATTCTTGAAGTCATATAGAGCATTTGAAGCTCTATTTATATTCGAACTTGAATTCTGTATCTCATGATGTTGATATAAGATCGACCAATACCAGTCGACAAAGTAACTATTGACATGTTTAGCTCAATTGAATTTGTCGGTCTTATACGAGCACATGTTGACATATTGTTGGCAAATTATTATTAATTTCATTTTTGTATCTTTTTTCTCCAGTCTACTTTGTGTATTAAGTAACTCTTCATTCCACGAACGTTTCAGTCAACAAAAAGACAATGAGATTTTTCAAAAAAAAAACAAACTTTTTTCCATCGATAATACAGAACTTATTCAGAAAATTTGTATTTTATTCAAAAATTTGCCACATTTGTAAAAACAATAATGAAAAAAATCTAGATGTAGTCGATTTTTTTTATTATTAAAAATTGGTTAAAATTGCATCAGTTTAACTTAATTTGAATAAGACTAATTGATGTTTGAATTTAGCCTTGAATAATTGTTGGATTTTAATTATTCGAGTAAATTTATAAATAAAGAATTTTTATCGATTAAATTTTCCTAATAGACTAAATTAATTGAAATGTGTCTTTTAAATTTTCAAAATATAGTTTTTCATTAATTCAATGAAAAAATAATCAATTTTAATCTAATCTATGGACATTTTATACTAGATAAATATATTTTAATTGATATTCTCTCTTGAAACGTGAGTTGTAGGTCAAAGGTTGCTCTAAGATAATATATATATATCGTTTATTGAATCAAAGAGTCCGAATAAACAATCAACATTTAGAGTTTCTTAGTTAAATCTCGATATATGGGTTTTCTAAGATGATTGTGATTAAAAAAAAACAAATAGTTCTATTAAAATTCGATTAAAATAATGTCATACAAAGCGATTTTAAATAAGAAACCAAATCTACTAAAATGAAATATATTTCATATTTTGTTTAATATGTATGTGTATATCATGACAATCTATTGAATAATTGAATTAGTTCAGTCCATTCGAATCTCTTCTAGATTTTTTTTTAAATAAATTCAATTGATCTCGAAATATTTATTATTCAACTATGTTCATATTGTTTATGTGTAAATTGAATTGACTTTGATAAAATCATTGATTAAACGTTGGTTAATATCTATATAAAGAGTTGAATGTGATTGTGGTTTTGTCTTGTATTAAAGAGGATAGAAATAGAGCTGAACCTATTTAACATGATAATGAAACAGATAAGTGAGACCTTTTATAAATGCTTTCGAATTTAGATAGAAACCTTGAAATGTAAAGATTAGAAAACTGCTTTTAGACTCATCATTGATATTATCCTGCAGATGGACTAAACATTTTTTTTATTGAATTAGGGTGTTCATTCTTTTTTGTTCTACAATAATTAAAATGAAAATAAGATCAGGTCAATATTTAATTATCACTTTCTTGAATACGTTGATGCATTACAGTTGTCAAGTAACTTGATAATAAATAATATTATTAATTAAACGATCAATCGAGAACGTTTTTTTGTAGAAGCATTTTGACAAGTATTGAGAGAGTTTTCCTAATGATGGATATCGTAATGATAATGACTAGTTTTAAATAAGTTTAATATGATATAGATGATTATTTTATTTGTTTTTCTATGAATTGTTTATTTGTTGATAATTGAGATTCGAATGTTTCTATTCGTATATAACTGTCGAGTGAAACTTCAATGTTATCTTATTTTGTTTATCTGATTTTAGTTTTACTTTAAATATTTATTCAACGAAATAATCGTTCATTTTCTTTTTTCATATTAGTTAACATTGAATTTATTTTTGTCAGATATTATTAAT